CAGTATAACATTTGTTGCGATCCTTGCAGTTGATTCATCACACCAGGTGGTTTTTTGCGCCTTTCTTGGTCTTGTCCTCTGGACGAAATCAGTTCACATAATGAAGCGGCTGGTTTGTTGATTTCTTTAGGTTGCAGATGCCTTACTGTGAATTCAGATATGGTCATGACGTGCGCGAGGACCATCCGTTATTTCATTGACCTTAGTGTTTCCGTTGTTTTTAAATACGCAATAGAGGTAATTTCTTCTTTCCGTCTGAGCTCTGCTGTCCTTCAGTGCGCCTGAGCTCCTCTGAACAAGGTTTCAATGCAACTCTTCTTGTGTGCTTCGCAGGCTGGTTGCCATGGTAACCTAATGTTTGGTCAGTGTCTCTCAGTCTGTACAGCAGAGGGCACCTCAGAATGTGTTAATCACGGATACGAGAGGTTACCAAATATCTAGAGAAACCACTTTTGGTAAAACATGAAACCTTTGCAAATTGTCTTCAAATAACATGTAGATACCGATGAGGTATTATTGTTTTAGTGCAGAAAGCTGCCGATACGCTTTCTGTTGGCCACCAAAACACACTTGCATGAAGTAGTCAGAGAGTGCTGTGTTGCAGTTTGAGCAAACGGAAGTTCTTTTATTGGACTTAGAAATACCGTTTCTACTGCTTTCTTCCACGGAGGAATTGATGTTACCAAGTCTAACGATTATCCCACAGCCGTTAACTGTTATTGTTTTTAATGCCTATCGCAGTCGGAAATCGACAATCAATAGCTGTTTCTCTGCAAGTTTTCCTTTCATTCACGGATTTTACTAACTGGTATTTAGCGAAGTTTTTTTGTTTAATTTTACTAACTGTATTTAGCGAAGTTTTTTTGTTTAATTTCCTCAGAACACTGAATCAGTGAGTCCATATATATCCCAATTTGCTATTATGGGTTAGAGCACTCCATCAGGTAGGAAAGGTATTTTTAAGCAGCCGACGCTTTCGACGATTCTAACGCGACTGGCGCTTGTTTGAACACGTAGAATTTACAAAACGCATCATTGTCTCTACTCAAAATCTCGGTTCACTTGATTACATTTGTGTGACAGGAACAATAGCTAGGCTAAGTACGAACTTATACGTGACAAGCTCCTTAACTCGAAAGATGTTATCTATTGTGTACCATGCTCCCACAACAGAAGGTGGAATAAGTTACGACTGAAAATACGCGATATCATAACCTTCCTTGGTGTAGACGAAGGCGACAGAATGGGGCTGCGGAGGGGAAGTTAAGTCTACGAGGATCATGGCCAGGTTTAACAGAGGCCAAAAGGAACGAGTACTGAATGAAATATCCTTAATTTAGTCAAATTCGTTTTCTCCTGAGATTTTGGCCAACCGGTAAAGTTAAGCTATATGATCTACAGACATTCTGTTCTCCTTAATAATCTGGTAAGTCCTCAAGGATATTTTAATCTTTAGTCTCTCGTTTAAAAGTTGGGTACTGTACAATTCAGCCACGATTGGCTGATCAACAGGATTTTTAGCTTGGAATTAGGAGATAACGACACTGATCCTTTAATCGCGCAACTGACGTCATGCCAGATGTCTTTCTGCCAGTTCAAAAGAACTCTCTGTACCGAGGTTCTAATATGCCGTTACAATACAAATGACAGGAAATATAGAGAGTCGAATAGTAGAGATCTGGTGTGATTCCAAAAGACGAATCATAAGTGGTTACTGAAGTAAAAATCAGAATTCCGCTCATTCATTCAGAAACCTTGGCATCCCGGCAGTTTGGTAACTGGCTTGCAAACGCTTCGTTACCATGAGAGGGGACTTTGTCATTGTACGGTGCGGCCCACCCAACCGACCGAACCGTCAGACCAACTGCTACCTGATCAACAGCCCATAAACTCACTCTTGTTGCGAACATTTAGACGCCGTCATATCTCCGTCATCAAAGCACAGTATGTTTTTACTTATGCAAAGGATGTCTTTCTTCACTTGAGCCTGAGATAGCTCTCATATGTCGGCCAGTCTCGCAACCCAAAATCCTTTTGGGACCGCAGTGTAATCTTTCCTACAAAAGATAACGATGAATATTTTTCACTTGAGCTCTTGATACGTTGATTTACATTGTGCACTCACTATTCTCGTGTTAAGCATCCACTAAAATCTACCTCATACATGGAATTCGTGGAATCCTTAGCAAAATCGTGATACTGCTCGTCGGTATACAGTTCACCTTCATACTGGGGCCGGTTAAGTAAAATCGATGGATCATTGCGGTCCGTTGTATGACATTAGCCTAGTAAAGCGAGGATTGATGAGGCTATACTTTGTAGGTCTTGTGCCACCTGACAGGTACAGACATGCACTAGAGCCGTCGACTTGAAAAAATATGTTATTCTTACTCACCGAGTCGGTTGACAATTGCTGAGGCTGATGGTGCTGGCGTGGCTGAATTTTCTCATGGTACTGAAAACCAACTGTGTTACCGTGGCAGCGTCATTTTCACTAAATAACACTGAGTTAGCAGCGCCGAAAATGCCGGGACTCTCTTCAAAAAGTGGATGAGTCGCAGTAGTCCGGAGCTAAGGCTATCGCTTATCTCAGGTTTCTGAAATGTCCAACATAAAATCTATACACGCTTGCTGTCGAAGCCAGATTTCACGCATCGTGAAGCATGTTGGTACCTGTAATTGCAGTCAACGCTATATGGATCTCTTTGCTGCAAGGCCCTAGCCTGGATTGAACATGTCTCGGACGATGATCAAACTCAGCTCGGTTTTTATCTCTAAGTAGGTTCACATTACATGTTATTGAAGGTTCTCGTGGAAAGGACGAATAATCGTTAACTTGCCTGAGTCAAGGCAGCTTCTGTAATAGTTCACTAGTACAGGTTGAAGAAAGTTGTCTCAGTGAATTCCGCAACATAAATAATTACGAGGAATCTCTATCAGTTGGTGCTTACATCGGGTGAGCATGCTTGGTAGCTTCACCATACACAAGAGTTATGAGCAGGTTAACATAGTTACCAATACCTTCTGTAAGCTCATTTTACACTTTCTCCGTTTTACAGGGGACATGATTGTGGTTCATAAATGATACCCGGTTGATTGGTCTGTCAAAACTCCAGTGTATATCATTCGAGGGAAAACAAAAATCTGTTGCACTTAGCTCTGATATTTTTGCCCTTGTTTCACTTGCTCACCTTTTTCCGCCTGTATATTAAAAAAAACTGAACATCAAAGGGACGCATCTCACCCACACGTCGGGTGATCTGAAAATTTTTAGGCAAATTTCAAAAACAAATACTAAAGCCCCGACCAAAGATAGATCAAAACCGACTGGAAGCCTTCTACCGATGAATTTTTCTAGGTTTACGGCAGTTGGAGCAACCTGACACCGAACTGTAATTCGGATAGAGTCGCCCCATGGGAAATGATGAAACACATTTGAATTCGACAGCAGACAGGTGCATGCGAATACTGTTTGAGATGTGCCGGTCTCGAGGTAGATTTTTTAAGGCTAAGGATGACCGAAAATTGTTTTGGGAGAAATAACACCAAGACACTGGCAAAATTAAGATGTACGCAAAGTTTATTTCTGTACACTATGAAGATAACTCACAGTTGGACGGTGAGTAGCTCCTGCGGACTGTTCTGTCAGTAAAATGAGGAATTCATAAAGTTTCTTGTGGAGGCCTGTAGTTGTGTTGAAGACTGACAGTAAACAGTAGTGGTGAGTAATGCGCCGAAGCCCCTACTCGGTGGCCTGTTTAGTGTCAACCCTTTTTCTGCGGACCCGATGTAAATGTGGTTTGGGAACAATCGATGATTCAGTCGGTTGATCCCTCCACAGCCTATGCCTACATCATGCTGGGTTACGGCAGCATGGTTTTTCACCTTTATATCGCTTCACACTAAAAGAGTGTGAAGGAGTATTCCTTGTTACAAGCCAATGCGTGAACATGTCTAAACCTGAGTGGGAAGTTGCTGCATCTCTCTGTAGTCTTGGTAATCTCAGTAGTGAGAAAATTTCTGTTTTTAATTCTGAGAAGCAAGCTGAGTGCGTCTGTTTCACGCGTTCGTTATAATTTTCTAATGCCCTTCGAACGAATCCCAGTTTGGTTTATGCAAATTGAGCGAGTTCGGAGTAAATCGATGAGATGAGCTTTAATGGTGGCAAAACAATGGACTCACAAAACAGAAGCATTAAATTCTCATAGCGACATACGATCATGTTACGGTAGCTTGTCTATTTTTCTCCGCGGACCCGCTCCGCCTACGGTCTCGTGTCGCGTGGAGTCACGTGGATCCTATTAGCCCATACGATGTCTGGACGTCCAGTGCGGCATGTCCTATATCCAGTTCAGACTAGAAAGTATAGAAACCAGGAGGTCATCCTGGCAAAAACAAAAAACCACTTTCCTCCTATGGTTTTTTACGAGCTCAGTGTTAATAGTCGCAGGGACGCAAAGGAACAATGCAAGTAACTTGCTTGATCCAGATTTTTACTCAAGCTCTATCACGAGCTATTGGGTAGTGGCGAAACTATTCCTCGTATACTATTAGATCAGAACTATGAATGAGCAAATAGCGCAGCGTGCCTTTAGATTATTTCCGTTCTAACCAATTGAATCTGTCAGCTATCCGTCCAACCTCGGGACAGGAAACATTCGGTGGAATGGTGGGCTACTCTGTACGATATACAACCTGTACTACACGTTGAAACAAGCTGACATCGATTTACTAGTCAGCCTGGAAATCTAGCGTACTGACAACATATTCAGCTCCGAAGAGTTCGTGGAGTGGCTGAACAGAAATTTTCGAATAAGTACGTCGCACGTTATCCGGCGGTCTTTGAAGAACAGCCCGTGTAACTGCCTTATTGGTCCTGGGCTCCAGTGAACATCTCAGATGACCTGCATTGAGCTCGTGGAGTTCTATCATCCAGCTGTGAACTATGTCTTGTTTGACAATAAAACGATCCGTCGTGTGTAAAAGTCATGCAACTTACCGGCCTCCACTAAAGGCACCGTATTTTGATCTGCCTGTCAAATCAGAATATATAGATGAGTTGGGCTGAGTGGCCTGCGAAACCCACTGAACACCCAGTACTCAGTTTCAACATTAAGGAACAGAGGTTCGACGTGAGGAAGCGAGAGTTTAGAGCATTATAAAACTACCCCAGTCATGGTACTTAATCACAAAACTGTCAGCTATAGACAGTTGAAAAGTTCAAACTCACGACGTGAGCGTATGGTGGAGCGGTAAACTTAGAAAGTGGGAACTTACACTCAAGGTGGCTTACAACCTAACATACTCGACAGTTTAAAGTAATAAATGTAATGTTCGGCACAGAACCTGGACTAAGAGGAGAAGACAATGAATGCTCATGGCCTAGTACCAGAACATATCACTCCTACGTTCGCATTCTTAAAAATGGACGCACATTTGCTTTTTTTCTATAGAAAAGTACCTAAGTCCAGGGCCGTTTTCAGCCGCTCTTCGACACGCTTGCCGTGTTTTTCTGCCCAAAAGTAAGATTGCACACTCCGTTAAGTGGAACAACTGTTATCTAGCGGACATGCTTCAAAGTACTAGAAGAATATGAACTACTCTGTGAAACATCTCAAATCAATGCAAAGTTGTGCTGTCGAAACAGAACCTGGGCGACGGATCGAAGGAAAGACAAACAAACATCTATTTTGTACAAGCGTCTGGACAAGCTCCCAAGCAGACACATCAGTATCATCATCGACAATATAACATCAGCATTTAAAAACTGATGCTTCGCTATCGTACATCCACAACTCAATTAAAAGCATAACTGTGAAGAAAAGAATGAAAGTGTATGGGGAAGGGACCCTGTGCTAGCCTATCGCAATAATTCCGAAGTGCCTTCACCTCAATACACTCATATAAATTGATAACAAGAACGCCATTCACATGATTAGTGGCCATCTCTTTCAGTGACTCCAACCATAAACCGGAGAGATCTCGCAGACCCCATCCTAAAAAGTTCAGAGTTACGCTATTTTGCCGCCTGAAATTAGCAAACACTACCTCAGCCTTGGAAATTTGTGCACTAACCTCAAATATCACGCTACCACTACCTTCAAGAATACAGCAGTAACTGTCAGTCCCTTTTTTGAAAATGGGTACTATCACGACTTCTCTCCAGTTGTTTTGAACAGTCTCATTTTGCAAAATGGTGGAAGATAGATCCGACAAGTGCTGACGAAGGACTTGATCCCCATAATCGAACAATGTGGGTGGGAAGTAATCCGAACCAGGAGCTCGGTGGCGCTTGAGAGGACATACATTCACTGACCTCAGAGACCTTAAAGGGTTCCAGGTTCATCGCTTATGGTCCCACTGAAGTATGGGGATCCGGCTGAGTGGCGGCAAGCGGCCACAAAGTGTGTCTGGCTTAGCGGCCTAGTCGTCTTGTCCAGTTAAGATGGTCACATCCGTTTCATCCTTGATCATTTCTCCCGCCAGCGGCTTCCTGGGACCAGGCACGAGGAATGAAACAGTCTTCGGGCATTCCCGGATTTCTGCCAGTCTTCCATTTCCTTAGCTTTCTGCGTCAACTAGCATTCACGTTAGGTGCTAATTTCGACGCCTGAGGATTCGTCGGGTTAAATTATGTTAGGGGTCGGAGGGAATATTTCTCCAGGGTTCACGTGGTACCACTGTTCGGTCTGATATCCAGTGCGGACTAGTAGCGTCGCGTCGTAGGCGAAACCCCCAGCAGTGAAGGAAGTTCCGGTGATCTCTTTCCATCAAGAATCGACATTTGACGGTGACCAACTTAGAGTAGAATCCAGAAGACGGTTCTGATAAATTCACCTAACATTCGGATATACCAGCCTCCTACATTTTAGGCGATTTTCCCACCCTTACTCAGCTCTGGAGAGCGAATAAAAAGACTATCCCGGACTAGCGCATGATCCAAAAAAGTCTTCCAAAACCAGCTGCAGTGCCATCGGTAACCAAGAGTGAGGTGATCAGTATTGGTGAGGGTATGGCACGCTGTTGGAGGGCACCATTGGGCCAGAAGACTTCGGTTATTTCGGAAGATGGTACTGCATAAAAATAGCCTGTGTTCAGCACATAGCGGAAGCAGTCATTGTGCTTTGTCCAAACGTCCAACCAGTCTCAGATGCGCAAAGTCTGTTCCTTTGTTCCTTCAGCACCCTGATAATTACAACGATATCTGACCTATTAGCACGCCACAACTGGGCGTTCAAGGCGTCACAAAACTTGTCTTTGACAGTGTCAGACCTGCAGTCGGTTGGGGCGTAAACAGACACGGCAAACAAACATCGATCCACTCCCCACTTATGAGGTTCCTTCACAAACGTTTTGCGAACAGCAGATAGACAACTATATGCAGTTATCCAGTCAAGCAAGGATCATTCCGCCGGTTGACTTAGGATGATGCCAACCCCTGCACATCCTGGCACAACTGCCTCTGGATCACCAGATGTGCACAACCGGAAGCGAGTGGAGACTGACGGGGCGGTTAGCTCAATCACTGTGCTTGCACCGTGAATTCTTGTTTCTGGAACACAGCACACTTTAACGCCAAGCGAGTCCAGCGCGCGAGCAAGAGCAGTTTTCTGTCCTGCTTGCTTGAGTGCAAACATTAAAAACAGTCAGGATGACCAGGAATGGAGGTCTAAAGTTCGATTTCTGGGTCCCAGAGGGTGTCGCGGCCAGTCGGTACTAACCCGATGCAAGATGGACGGGGTCGTTAGCTATAACTGATGGGCCTACAAAGAGAAAATTATAAATAGGGTGGGAGGAGAGGGAATAAAAGGTGTGCGAGGGGAAAAGAATGAAGGCACTAGCAGTAGCCTGTTTTCGTTTATTCGCCCCGCTGCATACAGCAAGCAAGGCGACCCGGCTTATGGCAGCCGATGAAGCATGAGAGTATTTATTAATGCGTAATTCACGGTTGTATGATATGACCTACTGATTGCACACACCAACTTAATTCTGAACTTGCTCTACTTAATGAGAACAGCTTAAACTAGGAAAAACACAGCTGTCAAATAGTTCACTTAGAAATGAAAAGGCAGGGAAGTTCGCTTGGCGTGATTATATTCTTTCAACCACTGAGCGACTTAATCTCCATATGCTATATTGAAACCAAAAGGTCGGAGGCAAACCATGCTTAGAAGCAAGTTTCATTTTCCATCATTTTTGCAACTGAACGCTCAACCACATTTGAGAACAGCTTTTATTGCCAAAAAACAGAACAAAATCGCACGTCCTATGGAGACTTACATACTCAGGGTTGTTTGACACCAGTGCTCACTCACTTGGAAACGACCCATTTTAAGGACACCCCGGACTTTCTGCATGACCTGCTGATTAAATTGGAGTAACAAATTTACCTCCGTTCATAAAACGGTACTTTTGTCATCGCTCACAGTAGACATGTCATTAAGAGTTACGGCTTCCCTGTGGATGGATCGAGAATCCAAACTGGCTTGCCCTGATCGTAAACGTAACTCTGAAACCGGAGTAAATTCTTCGGCTCAAATTTGAACTTCAAACATATTCGAGTCCATCGTCTTAGTTTTGTCAGAGTTTTTTCTTTCTTCTTGATTTGCCGCAAAAAACGTTTTGCGAGAAGCAAGCAATGAACGCTTCACACGGATTGAGGAGGTTGAAACAAACCTGTGAACACTGGCCAGAACAAGTTTATGCTAGAAAGTAGACAGGACTTGGTCAGTTTGTCTAGTCCGTTGCAAAACACTTGCCTTCAACACCTGTCGGTCATATCCGAATAAACGGGCTTCGATAGAAATCCACCCTCATACGGGTCAACTTTCCATACTGAGGAGTTTTATCGACGACGGTCGATAATAATCCCACTAAAAATAACCTTCTGGAAGTTATGTTATGTTTCTGTAAAAGGCGGTACCCAAACAGCTACCAACACGCATCAGTGACATTTCTGATTCTGTGAACTCTAGCATCTCCGAGGGTGGCCATTTTGCAAGCACTCTTCCTGGCTTCAACACCGATGATGGAGAGGTTGTGGTTTTGGGCGGTATTTCCAAGGTGGAAATTGATCATTCGTACCTTTCCCGTCTCTCAATGTGAGTAGAGACGGACGAAAAGTGACCGGTTGTTGTTGTGACTTCCATCGTTTTTTTCGATAAAAAAAGAATGGTCCGAGAATTGGATCAAAAAGCGATGCTCCTGAGGCACATCTGTCTGCAATCAGAAGTGAGAACAGTTCTGATAGGAAGAACGTCCTAATCAATATCGTATCAATGGGTGGAGTGTATCGTATCGCAAACTTCCGTTAGCCAGTCGTTTCATAGACAGCGATGAGCTTATCGCCACATTTGCTCATTGTTCCTGCATTTCATGAGAGGATGCGTAAGCAGTGTGAGTAATTCTTCGCAGGGTCTGAGCTCTGCGTGATCTCGTGCGCTTTTAACAAGTTGATTTTCTAGAAATACATTCATTTGCAAATCAATTCGGGTTTCACGATAGATTCAACTGAATCTATCGTTTATGATATTCTACAACTGAATGTGCTGCACCAGGCTGCCTCATGTTTCATTTGGCATGATATTCGAGATATCGCAGTATATTTTCATATGTAGCATATTTTCCTTTATGAAAATATACTGGGATATCTCGAAGATCGTGCCAATTGAAACATGGGGCGGTCTGTGTGCAGCACATTCAGTTGTAGAATATCATAAACGATAGATTCAGTTGAATCTATCGTGAAACCCGAATTGATTTGCAAATGAGTGTATTTCTCGAATACAGTGCAATTTGGGTTCAAATGGAACACAAGGCTGTCGGAAATTCGGGGACTGCGCCTACCTGATGAGCCCCAAGAAGGGCGAAATCGGTTATAGGCTGTCGGAGAGTTTTCAGCAACCTTGTGAGTTGTTGATTTTCTGTTCATGAAACTCGATTAACACCGCGGTAAGATTGCGATCCACGTATTCTATGAAGAACACCAGAATGACTTCGTGTCTGAAGGTTACGGTGTTGGTGTGTGTAAGAG